AAACCCAGGCACGGCCAGGTCCCGGTGCAGTATTCTTTGCCTTGAGTTTCCTTACGGCCACACTTAACTCGGCGCAAGAGACTTCTGGTGCCTCGTCTTCAGTGACAGTCTCGGACTGCACCATAGTTGGAGGTGAGAATTCTGCTCTGCTTGGGAACAAGGCTGACACAACATCCTCTAGCAGTTGTGGCTGAAGAGTTTGTGTCAGTGGAGGAGCCCAAGGGCGAAGTTTACCTCTTACCGCTTTGTATGGGCGTCCCCAAGGGTCTTGGTCAAGAGTTTTCAGCTGTTCCTCTCTAGCCTGGGTTTTAGCCCTGCTGATGGCCAACTGCAGAGTCTTTTTCGCCAGCTTGTATAATTCGTACAGTTGCGTCTCCTTCTGTTGGTCTCGACAACGCAGTCTGCGCTGTCGAGTGTACCGGCGTCTCGCCTCCACACACGCGCCGCGTAGCTGTGAGAACTCCGCTGACCACCAGTACACCTGACGCTTTGGAGAGTTAGGCTTGACTCGCGACATGCCTGCGTCGCAGATCTCAGTCATTGAGCCAACAAACCAATCCGCCTCTTCTTCGATCGCAACAGGGTTGTCTGGAGCAGCAATCCAGGCCTTGACTATGGATGCCTCTATCATGGCATCCCTGTCTAGATGCTTTAAGGACCATCTCGGGCTATTGTTTTGGTGGACTCTTCTGCTGTGGTTGCGCGGGGATGCTAAGGATGAAGAGACATCGAACCTTATGTACCTGTGGTCCGAAAGCGTCTCCACGTCTTCTATAACTTTCCATCCACAGACGCGTTGTGCCAAACCGGGGCTGGCGAACGTTATATCAATAACTGAGCCGCCCTGCTGCCGGACGCATGTATTGGTAGTTCCTCTGTTGAGGATAACAAGCCCTGTGGCCAACGCCCATTCTTCAAGTTCCTCGCCACGCGCATCAGTTACTGAGGACCCCCACGCCAGGGATTTGGCGTTAAAATCCCCGAGAACGAGTACAGGGCGAGGGTGACATTGCCCAATCATGTTCCCCAACTCTACTAGAAACCTCTCAAAGTCTGATAAAGGTTTATTAGGAGAGAAATACACTCCCAACACGACAATCTCTCCCAATGCTGCCGCAACGCATCCATTACCCCTCGCTACTTTTTCGAGGGGCGGGGAGCCAGCGGAAGCTTGAGAAATTATGGTTACCGTGTCTTCCTTGTCGCTTGCCCAGTTATCTCTGGGCGGGACAAAGTATGGCTCGGCAATCACGGCCACTTGTATCAACCATTCCGCCATAGTTTGGAGCAAGAGGTCTTGGGCTCTGGCGCAGTGGTTGATATTTCCTTGTAAAAAGTGGCGGGTCGCAATTATGAGAGTTCCATAGTCACCTCCTCGGCCCTGACCTGGTTGTTGGTTGGAAACTGAACTAGTTCCACCGCAGTTCCAGCTGCAGTTTTTGTCCTCTTCTTCTTAGAGCGGGGGTCAGCACAGGATTTGCTGCCCACCCTGTGCCCTGCGGGTTTTTTTACGGTTGCACACAACGTACAGTATGGTGCAGCAAAACACTGTTTCGCTTTATGGCCAGGCTGACCGCAACGATAGCATTGATCGCTACGGTCTACTTCTGCAGTGCATCTCTCTTTGACATGCCCAAGCTCAAAGCAGCGGAAGCAACGCATTGGCCTAGTTTGCAGCAGCTTAACCTGCGCTGCGACCCAACCCACTAGCAAGCGATTATTTTCGGCCACTTTCTTGGCAATTTCCACCGGACAACGCACCCAGACTGTGCCAGGGCCGGCTGAGGTCCAGCGGATCTCTCCCGTTTTTATGATGTCCTTCGCACAGTTTCCCACACGTGCGACGGCATCGACAACCTCTTCGATTGAGACGGAGTCGTCCAAACCCGAAATGCGCATTTCCGCGCACTTCGTGGGCCTAGTGACCCGAATGGTGTCACCGTTAATCGTCTCTCTCAACTTTTCAGCTAGAGAGTCGGCTTTCTCGCCGTTCATTGTCCCTGGTATTTCCAGAATGCGCGCACCTGTTGCAGCCCGACGGAAACGTAGAGCAGTAATGCCGAGGCCAGAGAGGTCGATATTATTTTTCGCCTCTGCAAGCACATTTGCGTATGTAACGCCTTTTTCTGCCGCGTTTGGTTGCAGGGTGATAACCACGGCCGCAGATCGAGGAGAGCTTAGTTTGATGGGTTTTGGACCCAGCGGTCTTTGAGCCTCCTTCGCCTTCTTTTTCGTGCCTCGCCTTGCCACTGTTGACCAAAGCTCGGTCATGGACTGGGGCGCTGCGGACAGAACGGTAGCCTGCTTTTGGGGCGAAGCTGCTTGAGCGGAATCGCTCTTCCCCTTCTTCTGTTTGTTCCCCTTTTTACCCTTCTGTATTGAGGGGACTTGCGATTGTTGGGCAGTCGCTATATTAGGTTTCTCAGGTGCACCAGGGATATGCTTCGCTTTGTCCGCTGCCAGCGGTGGGCGGAGGCGCTTTTCAGGCAGCAGCCTATCTTCAAGAGCCTCTAGCCTAGCATTAACCATTGTGCCAACTTCACGCATAATGGTGCTAGTCACCTCCTCCGTGATGAACGGTACCGCTTGCTGGCTACTGCTTGGCATCGGTGCGTCTTGGGTTGCAGGACGAGGCCCTGCTTCGCAGCTCATTTCTTTTGTCCATGAGGTCCTTAGCTCGTTCTTGAGCTCGTTCACCTCAGAACGTAGCAAAGCCACCACAGCTTCTAGGCGGGCGTTATCTGCCTGTAGCTGGGCTGTTTCTTCCGTAACGGTCCGGCTGAACAGTGTATCCGCCACACGTAGTATTTGCATCGCGGCATCATTTAGAGCCTTTTGAAAAGTGCCCTTGAGCCTTCCTGATTTTTTGGACACCGTCCGGATAATTTCGACGCTGTCCGTCATTCGCTGTTTGAGAGCAGAGGCCGTAAGGCTTGCATCGTCGCCAGTTGGTGAATCAGACAGGCAAGATGTGTCCCTGCCGCGCAATCTCTGAGATAGTTGAGCTACCTCTTCCTCTGCACTCAGTTGGAGTTCCTCCTTTTGGGCAGCACTGGGCTGCTTCCTGCTTTTAGAGGGGCCAATGAGCCCGGATACAGTCGGGTGACCCTTGCCTCTTTTAGCAGTGGTAGCTTTTTTAACGGCTGGCGCCGATTCCTCATGTGAGGCTGAATCTGAGCCTGAGCTCTCCTTCTTCGATCGGGAACGTTTTCGGCGGGTCTGCTGCCAGTATTTCCCCGACAATTGGCATGAGTCTTGATTGGACTCAACGGTAATCAAACTGGAATCGTCCGACTCCGCAGCCATCGCAGCATCGGCACTCAAATCCGATGGAGTGTATGTAAGGCGGTCGTTGCCCCCCCCCAGAATACGAGGGGCAGCCGGAACCCGAGGGCTCCGGGAGGGATTCTCCAGCTGCGAGGCAGCTGGTACCCTCCTGGGGTAGTTGTACTTTCCGATTCGCCATTTCATATTTTGCTGATCCACAGCTTCGCCTTTTGACAGGGTGTGGTCCCTTTCCCCCCTCCCCGGCGCTTGGGACTGGACCCCCTCCAGCCATTCATCCCCTCGGCACGCTGACCTTGGGATTGGGGTAATTTTTATAGAGGTTTTCTTCCTCGCGGCCCTCCTCTCAATGAGGAGGACCCCCGGTCCCGCTCAATGCAGGATTACGGGTTGGCCGGAGCCGGTCTGGGGACCGAACACCGCCCACCGTCTCGGTTGCGGGTTAGATAGCGCCGGACAGAACCTGCGCTATCTTCCCTCCCTCCCTGCTGGTTTTGGTCCGCGCCGGCCAAAGCCGGTAGCTCCCATATCTGGGAGCCGTTCCCCTATCCGCCACCTGGGGACGCGTCCGATGGCAGACCAGCAACTGCACACGGAGTGTAAATTTATTTTACCTACGGAATAAATAATCTTTGACTTTGACTTTGACTTCGATAGCAGGTTTTTCCGACTTTGGTGGAAGATTTTCTGAATTCGGTGGCATAAAATCCACCGAATCCAAGTCCACGGGATTCAGAAAATATACATATTTTTGATATTACTCGTAGACGACAATACTTGTAAAATAAATAAATTATTATATTTTAGTCGTTACAACACATAGCATAAAAAATATTACATAGAACCATAATATTTAGTTTTTGAAATATCCTATTCACTGAATTCAAAAATCAACCTGGACGAAATCCACCGAGTTACGTATTTATACGCAAAAAGTCCTAAAATCAGTAACAAATCGTCCACCTGTTCTTTCCAGCCGCAGGGGCTTGATGGATGAACAATACGAATGTATACCGAAGCTTGTAAAATGCTTCACTTCTGATGTGTAGCGTGATTAGTAACTACCACCAAATTCCCTCGTAAGCCTGAGACACACAGCAATCTAGGTATTGTGATAAAACTATTGTCTAGTATATTGTGAAATTCAGATTAGAAGTACCGTCATCTAATATATTATACGTGAACTAACGTCTAATATTCATCTACGGTTTCAATTTTGAGAAAAATAACACTCTGTGTGGGATTCTGCATTCGGGACACGCCACCGTTGTCAGGATTCAGACCTTTCGGATTTTTTCCATTGGGTCCGAAAGGTTTATTGGGAAAATTTTATGCTCTCCAGTTAGCTTCCGACCTATAACGTACTCTCTTTTTTTTTTGTGGATTTTTGTTTTGATAAATAAGTGGAGTTTAGTGCAAGGACACTGAAAATTGCGGCTTTGGAGAAATGCCCATTTAATTAATATTCGAGTGTAACATTGTGAAATATTAGGTATTTAATATTTCACGATAAAATACTTGAACACTTATGTAATAAAAATTGCCCACGAAATTAGGTAGAGAAAACTATATAATAATAGAAATAAAACTATACTCACAATTAACGAATGTCTACATGTCTGCGTGTCATCATCCAGTTATTGAGTGATAACAAATACCATGTTACTTGTACTAATCTAAATGAATTTTCTAACCTATTTCATTTTTGTTTACAGAAAAGCGCGGTCGTCGAATAGTTCAGAAGAAAACGAAACGAAACAAAACGAATGAAAAGTATAAGTTAGGTACATTTCCACCTCAGTCATAAAGTATAAAGTTTTAATAGAATAGGGACAGTCATAAATTTAGACGCTAGTATGAGCTACCTACAGCAAAAAAAAATTACACATTTGTAACTTTTAGGTAACGAAAGATGAAATTAGATTTTTTTTTTATTGAATATACCTAACTACGCATTTATTGCATTTTGCTAAGTCCTCGACGCTTGGCGCCGCTCGGAGCAGCTTCTTTTTCATTATTTGTGTTTAATGAATACTATCTAATCATGTGGAAGATAAAGTTCATGTTGTATTGCTCGTTTTAATGCATCAAAGCGCCGCGTTGCCTTGCTGTGGCAATTTAAGACGACTCTAAATATTCCTATTTATTTCTGTGATTTAAAGCTGCTGCTAAAGTGGCACTGTAACTGCTATGGACAGGCATGTCACTTAACACCAGGCGCACGTCTTATACTCTTTGTCACTTGGTATCATAAAAAATATATTAAATTATTACTTAAGGAGTTGCTGCATACAATTTGGCATCCGTTTGGGGTAATCTCGTAAAGGAAATTTTCAATTACAAGAATTGAAAAGAAGAAAGAAAAAACCTAACTGTTAAGCGAAGTTGGTTTGTGACCGTCACTAACGGGCAGTTACAACCCAGTTTGCTCGTTTTGACGATCGCAAAATGAACTCGCTTGACTATATTCAACTTGTAGAAGATTTGTGCAGAAATGAAGAATATATGCTAAGAAGATATACGAGCAACAATTCAAACAATGATAACTTTATTTTTTATTATATTGAGGACGGTGGTTGCCCGGTTACTACTGAGTTGAGACGGATCGATCCCCAGGGACCTTACCATGTGTAGGGGCCAATACTACGCTATAGTATTGACGCCTAATTGTTTAAATAGATAGGTAAGTTAACTTGTAAATGGTTTATTGGTAAAGATACAACCTAGTTGAGCCTGTGTATCTCTTACTTTGTAGTTAAGTTGATAAATGTCTAAATTGATTAATTGTTCGTTCACATTAATTTAATTAATACATTTATTTAATTGCCTACTTATGCGCATAAGTAAACAAACGACCGCGGAAGTAGAATGCAAAGTAAGCGGAATTCAAATGTGCAGTTCTAAACCGCTTGTGCTGCCTAGGGCAAAAAGGAAGGACGTAAAGCAAGCTGAACTAAAATGTTTCGTGATGTACTTATTACATTTGTTTACTTTGCTATTTACCTGTAGCTTATGGAGGTATTACAATAATTATCATTAATTACAGGTTTCTTAGCACGGTATGAGTTCTTTATTATTTTCCCGATATTTCGGTGGACTGTGGTTTGTCGCAAAAATTGAGTAACAATGGTAACGTCACATGTAATCGTGATGAAGGTATTCGTCAACAGCGAAAGAGGGTAAACAGATATGTTTGTTCTTAAAGCTATAATCTGCCGCTGGCCAGTCTATTCGTGATCGTGGAGCGTGTAAACAACTGATCCGAAATATCGGAAACATAAAAAGAACTCATAATGTGGTAAGAAACAATGATGACAAATGACAAAAGAGTTAATGATAAAAACGAATAAAATACCAAACCTGTGTTATATTTCTTTGGCCCAGAAAGCGGCTGCATCTATGCCCCTATCTGTTGCCTTTAGCAGGTCTTCGCGGGTGCAGCTGGTCAGACACGGCAGGAGAGCAAGTGAGACATTTTTTTTTCGTGGGGGATCTGCAAGCAATGGTTTTGAGTCGGATTGATACATCCCCATTTCACCATGTTGTCTCTACATCGGCCAACTTCACCGGAAAAAATATATCTGGAAGTATTGTTGCCTGTGGAATCTTCAGATGTGCTGATGGGGCTGCCTCGCTTCTGTAGTGCTCTAGGTAGTTTGCAGAGGGATGAGAGGGATGCTGCTTTTATGCGATGCCATACGTAAGCGAAACACAGTCCTTGGTACACCAGGTGTAAGCCACCCACCATCCTCATCCTGCGTTCAATAGTGGACACGCTCGACTGTCCATATCCGAGGCATTGTTTTGATGCGCATGTATGTAGCAGTGTTTATTATGTATAATTTTGCACCTACTAACATTAGTAAAGAATATGAGTAATAGTTTTATGATATTATATCGTTTGTGAATATCGAGTTAGAGAAATAAAACAATTTTTCGGATATTGATCGTGTATATTTATTTTTCAAACAAACAAACATTTCATGCCCTTCACATGTCTCATGATCACTTTCTCTATCTTTGTCACTACATCTTCTATAACACCTCAACGCTCTCTTATATTGTTCCATAATTGGAAAATGTTCATAAATACCTTAGATGACACCTTAGATAATTACCTGAGAATGGACTGATGGAGGCGTCATGGATAGGCAGTCCCCTTTGTCAAGGTACAAGTAAAAAAAAAAACTATTTCTCTGCACTCACTTAAGCGCCTCCAAAACGTTTTACCTTTAAAAACCAAGATATGTTTAGTCCAAACATTTATTTTCCCCTTCTTAGACTATGCTGCTTCCTGCTATTTGGATGCTACTGAAGAGCTGCTAAATAAGCTTGAACGTCTGCAAAACCTATGTATAAGGTTCATCTTTGGGCTGCGTAAATATGACCGAGTGACCACTCTTTATAATATTTTACATAACCCTGTGTCTGCCGGGTACCTGAAAGAGCGTTTCAGGTACCCGGTCGACTGACAGTCAACCGTGACCATAGGACCTGTAAAGGGCTCGAAACGTCGGTTACGCGACAAATATACGCGATTTAAATTCGGAAAAATAGTTTCATTTCCTAAAAATAATATAATATAATTTTATTATTATATATTTTTTTTTGTTTTGTTGTGCACATATGCCCGTTCTTTTAGTTATAGTGCCCTGTATTTAGGTCTGCAATAAGAAATTTCTATTAGAAATAAGCAGAACCTTTTGTTTTAATTTTCCTTGTATTCATTGTTACTTGTTGTAATTTTCCTGTATAATAACCTATTAAATAAATAAAAATATCATCGCATAATAAACACTACTTTCGAATCGATGTTTTTTTCATTTCCATTATCGAATTCACCGCGTCAAGTTCTCAATGAAATATGTCGTCTTGCGCCATACAATCTTGCAAAACAAATCTCTGTTACACCAGGCTAGACAACGATGGACACCGTTACGTCGATAACGTCCCGTCTCTAGCATATTCACGGAACTTCTTTTATAGGCATATTCTGTGTACGGACATGACATGAATGTGTGTTTTAAAATAAGCTAGTGATGTCGACTTTTGCTTGTGGGAGACTATTGTAACACAACTCAATATTGCATTTGAGTGCACCTGTTTGCTTGTAGTATTACCCCCTGCCCGTCTAAAGCTCTTTCAGTAATAGTAGAGCTCCTTGTGAAATAGTTCGTCCTGGGTAGTACTGCCACCTTACCTATTTCTGCCGCCAAGCAGCAATGTCAGCATTACCGTGTTCCGGTTTTGAAGGGTAAGGTGCTAGTGAAATTACAAGTCCCATATGCCTTATGGGACTTGTCAACTTATGTCTCAGGGTGACGGGCGCAGTGGTAGTGCCCCACAGATCTTTGCAATTTAAAGCTCTGAGTGGCACTGTAAATGTTACGGACAGGCGTGTAGCTTACCTTCAGGCGCACGACTTGTTCGTCTTGTCACTTGATATTATAAAAAAAAGTGGCAGGAAGTTTTTTTTCAGAAATAACACTAATAGCGCCTCCCGTCCTATGTATATGCTCTGAGATAAATACTATGAAATCCTTCAATAGGCTAATTAATCAGCTTGAGCCAGACAGAAAATTTTAAGACCTTGCAATAGGTGTTACGCGTTTACAGCGGCTTTGTTTCGCTCTATTACACGAACAATAAGCTTTTTGTGACAGGATTAATGTGATTCCGTGTCGAAAAGTATGATGACTTCCTTAACTGAAGGTCTAGAAGTTACCCTCTTTCATCTTCTTTCTACAGCAGGATTGAGTCAAGTATACAAGACTATAGATTACAATAGATTAAACTGCTGGTCGCTGTGACGAATAGCTGTGCAGGTCCTAAATAAGTCAATCTAATACGAGACATTAAAACGAATAAACAACCAGTAAATAATCGAAATCCAGCCGAGATAAACAAGGTATAAGAGGTCTTTTTAAGTATCTATTAACGTATCGAAATAGACAAGTGGGTATTAAGTAGACACGTTTAGTGAACAGAAAATCGTTCACGTGAAGTGGAGATAAAACAAATGAAATAAAAGAAATGGAAATGGAATGAAATGGAAATAAAAATTTTTTTTTATCTGTTTTTATTGGTTTTAAGAATTGTAGTAGGTACGATTATTTTCCCTTATGTCTCATTTTAAGTAGGAAGTTAAGCCCTTTTTGATGTATATTCCTTATTCCAATGTTGTGTATAGTTGTAAAAGGAATGCAAATGAAATTTACTTACATTTTTTATGTATCTACCTATTGTAGTTAAGTTTTTAGTTTGTGTTCTGTAGCTATGCCAAATAAATGAAATATATAACTTACTGTGATATAGAGAAAACCACTTTATTATTAATACCAGTTTACTATCAACCGATATTAACAGATTAGACTAATGTTAATAATAAAGGAACAACTAGTTTATACTAGAGGCATGCTTCCTCCTTTTTATGGCTTACCACTTGATTCTATTCTATTCAAGAAGCAAACAATCAAAACTCAACCAAGATAGACAAGGTAGAAGAGGTCCTAGCGAAGTTTTTAATGTATAGAAATAAACGGGGTACGTGTTAGGTACTATTAAGTAGACTCATATAGTAGATTCTATTTACAAAACCAGGTAAACTCAAACTACTTTATTCCAATTAAATCCCATTATCTATTTCTCCTGTCAAGCAATAATATAAGCATGTCTGCGTTCCGGTTTCGAAGGGTAAGGGTGCTGATGAAACTACAATGCGACTTGTCAACTTTATGTCTCAGGGTGACGGGCGCAGTGGCAGTGTCTCACAGATCTTTGCGATTAGACGATCTGAGTGGCACTGCAATTGTTATGGGTAGGCATGTCGTTTGCCACAGCGCGCACGACTTGTTTGTTCCGTCACTAGGTAACACAAAAGCAATGCTAAGTAAATGCACTAAATAGTATAATAGTATATATACTATTGCAGAGGTCGGGAAGTAAGGGATTACTGCACGAGCATGAGTTACAAGGACGAGCGCTAGCGAGGCCTTGTGTTAATACGAGTCAAGCAATCCCCGTTCCCGCCGCGAGGCATGTATAGAATTTTCTCAAACAATTTGAGGAAATAATAAAAGACTAAAGAGAGGAAGATGTTTAATAGAAAAAGTAAAAAAATATTAGAAATAGCATTTGACGTGTTTACTACAATTGCTAGAAGAAAATGTTATTGTTTTTCCACGCACATTAATAGTAGTCTGCTGAACTTCTGATGACGTGTTTGAATGTGTAAGTTTTAATTCTCGCAACTAGGAACACTGGGCAGTTGGTTGTATGAGTTCTTCTTTTGCCTGTTTACATAGTTCTTTATTAGTAGGTAGATTTAAAAGTTTAGACAAGTGGATATTCATTCGATTTTCATACTTACTTTGCAGGCCTTGACGGAGAAGTAGTCGCATGGTCCATAAATGATAAACTTTCCGTGTTCGTTTTTTTAAGTAATGCAAACATTTCCGAGCATGTTTGAGAAAATTATATTTTCAAGTTCCAGCATTCGGACATTGGTCAGGGTTTGAACCGTTGCAAAAGAATTTTGGCAAATATTTATATGTTAAAATAGGTTTTATTAACCCCAATTTGAATATCTATTTGAACTTTGCAAAATCTCTGAAGTTTTATTTTAAATTTTTTAATTGATTTATTAATAAGTAATATAATTTTATTAGTAACGTGGTTTGTGTGGACTCAAATAATTATCTTTATTTTGTTATAATTTTTAAATATTTTACCTGGTATTTTTGCATGTTGTGATGTTTGAATGTTCATTTACTTTTTATGCTTAAATAATAATAATAATAATAAAAGCCTCAATGATAATGTTTTACGAAGACTTTAAGACCAACCAAAAGGCTATGAAGAAGAACAGTAATAGTATCTAATAATTTATTTAAGAAGAAACTTTAAGATATTACGATATAATATTTAATGTGTAATATTTTTTTATGTGGACTGTCCTAAGTAAATAAAAGTATCTTTTGAATATTACATAGCTTATCGTACTTAAACGGAAGTACTTTTTTGCCTCTGAAGCCGTAAATTTAAAGATTGCTTTATTGATGGATTGAATTTTTCTTATCTTTATACTAATAATTATAACAAATATTGTGTAGTAATTTCACAAAAAATAAATGAGTAACATGGTACATGGTATTCAATAAAATTAACGTTAAATTTGGAAATTTCCTGTTTACTTCCACTGGCTCTGTCAAATGGACGGTAAACACAATATTGATCTCATTAGGAGAAAATAAACAAAGAAAATAAACAAACATTTAACAAATTAGCTTTAAACTCTAAGTATTTTGTATAAAAACCCGTGACTCCCAACATCTTTAGTCAGTAACAAACGATTTAAAATACATTGAAGTTCAGTTTCTGTGAGATTATTTAAAAAAGTTTTGTTAAAAGTGTGCTCTTGTTGAGGCCCTGTATTGTACACATCTATAAACTTGCGCTGCTGAATACGGGTAATTTGATTAGAAAATACGTAAATATATATTTAAATTAATTTTAAACAGTGCAGTATTTT